ACAGGATTGTCTCTCCCACAATAAGAAATTAAATTTCTTATTATCCAGCTTTTTCCATGTGATTATAAGTTCTCTGATATCTTAAAATTATAGAGAATGGAAATTAGATAACTTTTTAAAGTTACATTTCTTATATATCACAAAATTTAGTAACTTTTAAATGTCACAATTAAGATGAACATAGCAAAAATGTTTTCCAAAGTAATAGCCATTTTATTTCTTTATTTTGGAGACATTTCTAGCTTATTAGAAATTATTGGAGACATTTCTAGCAGCAAACCAGCTGCTGAAATAAGTTGGAGCATGTAAAGACTTACCATAATACCTGTTATACGGTAAGTATTGAGTAAGTTGGGGAGTACAAAATGAGTAACAGCTGAGTCAACCCTTAGGGGAACAATAATTAATGTGACTCTAATAGAAAACATGATCTAGACTAGTAACTCCTAAAGGTGGCTAATCATCTGAATGGCCTGAGGAATTTGTTAAATATATATTCTAGATGCTACTTCTAGATGCTACCTCAGGAAACCAGGAGTGGAATCATGCAATTTGTATTTTTTAGTATAACGAGCCAGAGATCACTGATTCTAAATTAGCTAAGTTTGGGACTTGTGGCTTAAATTAAGAGATTGTATGGGTACTCCTGCATCCAAAGCAGACAGCAGTAGTTGATCATAATTGTCTCCTTGGCATCAGTTGGGAAGAGGTGTAGAGGCAATGAACTCTTGTCTTTTTTATTTGTGTAAACTAAAGTGATCCAAATTGAATTAATTGATTTTTTCTTAGGTGTGATACCAGCATTGTGATTAAGTAGGAGAGTGTTAATTCTTAGGAGATACATGCTTAAATATTTAGGGATGAAAGGTAACAAAATTTGCACTTTGAAATGAGTTAACTTTAGAAGTCTACATAGATATAGCAAATAGAGCAAAATGTTAACTAGTGAGTCTATGCAGGGCACTGGAGCGTTTATTAAGTAGTTTTCCAACTTTTCTGTAGATTTAGTATGTTTCAAAATAAAAGCTTTGGGTAGGGTTCAATAAGTTTTGATGGAACACTGCAATATCCATATGGAAAACAAATGAATCTTGACTTATGCTTTATACCCTTTATACCATATACAAAAATTAATTAGAACTGGATTGTAAACCTGAATATAAAAGCTAAAACTAGGGCCTCTCCTGGTGGCGCAGCGGTTGAGCGCTGGGTTGCGAAGCTGCCCGCAGTCTCTGCGACGCTGGTTCGATCCCCAGCTGCTCCCCAGCCACCGGAAGAGGGTTCCACATGGCGCGCAGACCTCTCCTGCCGCCCGCTGCTCCCCGCAGCAGTGTACTTCGGTCCTTCTGCCTGCTCTGCTCCCCGCTCTGGCTCTGGTGAATTCTCTCACCCTCCCGTGCTTCTGACTGTGCCCAGTGCATGTATAAACAAACAAACAAAAAAATAAATAAATAAATAACATGCCTCTATAAAAAAAAAATAGACATAAAAAATAAATAAATAAAAGCTAAAACTATAAGACATTTTAGAAAAATGGGTATCTTTTTTTTTTTTTTTTCATGAGATTATCTGATCCAGAAAAATGGGTATCTTTATGATCTGAAGATAGGCAAAGATTTCCTAAACCCAAAACAGAGAGCAATCATCATAAAGGAAAAAAGTTACTAGACTTTATTAAAATATAAAGCTGCTCATCAAAGACACCATTAAGAAAATAAATAAGCAAGTCAAAGATTGGTAAAAAAATATTTTCAAAAACATTTGCTCAAAAACCCTCAAATCCAGAATATATAAAAAATCTTTACAACTCAGTAATAGGCAAAATGATAGAAAAGTAAACAGATGGTTCATAAAGGATGGTACAAACACAACCAATAAGCCCATGAAAAAGTGCTCAAGTCAATGAGGAATACAAATTAAAGCTATAATGATGATCATCACTACACATCCATCAGAATGGCTAAAGTCAAAATGACCAAACAGTATTTTCAAGGTCACGGGACAACGGTTGCTCATACATTGCTAGGGGGAATATACAATGGTATAATCTTCCGGAAAAGTTTTGACTTTCTTATAAACAGTCACCTATCCTAACATAGAAATTTGACTCCAATATATTTGCCCAAGAGAATATCTGAAAATAAAATCTGCCACAACACTTTTATGTAAGTATTCATAGCATCATTTATATAGCCAAAACCTGGAAATGACCCAAACACCCATCAGTAGTAGAATGGCTAAACAAATTTTGGTATGTTTATACAAACTACTATTCAGCAATATAAGATAAGAACTCATCTCAACAAAAGAAACTAAACACAAGTCTATTAATGCAGAAATGTAAAACAGACAAAACTAATTTATGGTGAAAAAAAATCAGAACAGTAGCTTCCTCTAGAGGACCAGGTGGAGTTTCTGGGGAATCTTCCAGTGATGAAAATGTCCTATATATCTTGACGGGTGTGTTACATAAGTTCTATTTTTCAAAAATGGTACAGTTCAAGATTGGTGCACTTGAGTGCATGTGAATTTACCTTCTAGAAATCAAAAGGAGGGGTGGGGGTACATGAAACAAGAATAGTTGTGAAATCAACTAATGGGTTCAGGAGGATTCACATTGAGATTTTCCACAATAAAAAGCGGGAGGGCCTCCCTGGTGTCACAGAGGGTTGAGCACCCTGCTGTGAAGCTGTCCGAAGCCTCTGCAGCGGGGGCTCAATTCCTGGCCGGCCAGGGAGATGCCCACATGGTTGGGCAGACCTCTTCTGTCTCACCCGCTACTCCCCTCAGCAGTGTCTTTGGTCCTTCTGCCTCTTCTGCTCCCCGCTCTGTCTCTGGTGAATCCTCTCACCCTCCTGCGCCTTTGGCCTGTACCCCAGCTCTTGTACAAAAATAAATAAATCTTAAAAAAAAAAAAAAAGCGGGAAATGGGTTGTGGAGTCGGGGAGACTTAGGTTTGAAGTTTATTTTAATTCCATTCTGGTTGCAAGGTATCAGCCACAAATCTCCTTTTTTCAACATATATAAATGAGAATAAGGTAATAATTAAATTTCACAATCAGTAAGGATAAGGGCTCCTGTACTTTGATGAAGAGAATACAGATAGCAGTTTAACCAATTAAATTAGCCTGGTGAAGTAGAGATTCTGGACAATGGAAAATGGAATAAATATGGGCAATGAGGCTAGACTCAGGAAGGCCTTGAATTACAGGATTAGTAAACAACCCAACAGGCATTTGGAAATCAAGAGATTTTTATCTTTTAACCCAAATTTCAGAGTTAATATTTTTAACTTTTCAAATATTATAAAAGAAATGATTAAAATATAATTCATCATCCATTCTAAGATTATCAGTACAAATCTATTACTACAAGAAGGCAATGAGCTGAGTAGACAAAATTACAACAGGCTAAAGTCTAGGCTCTTAATTGGGGAGCAGGTGAGGGTAAATGTAAATCATTGATCAGGTGGGGTTCTGTAGATTCAAGGTGTAAGAGGTCAGCATTATAAAATATAGATTGGATTCTCCAATCTCCTATTTGTTCAGCCCCATTGTTGTTGGACTCTGAAATACATATCTATACACATAATGGAAAAAAGCACCCAGCACAGTAAAAATTGATAAATTGCTGTCCTGGTAAGAAGAAAGGCTATCTGGAAGACCATGTTAGGAAGGACTTTGCCTAATTAACTTCTACTCCTCAAATCTTAGTTTACTGAGTCAATACCTTGAGGATAGTATTAAAAACCTCCCTTGCCCAAGTTTAGATCAGGTTCACAAACATTCATAGAACAAAGTTTTGTTACTTCAGAACATTCGCTAATCATGGTTTGTAACTGTTTAGTACTATCCTTTATTAAGCTCTATAAAAGAAATTTCACTTGCCCTTATCTCCCAAGCGCCTGCACAAAGCAGAAGCTCAATGAATATTTAATGATTCTTAACATCAAAAAGAAAATGAAAACTGTCAATGAAACTGCTTAGAAAGTAAGGACAAGGAATAGTGTCCGGAGGACTATGACCAACGCTATTTTCAAGAGAAACGCACAGCCTTATCTCCTTCTATTTTTAAATAAAAATAAATGAGCTGAACATTATCTAATCAAAAAATTCGGTAACAGGTTAAAAAACGAAACAACCAGTAGAAGCAATTTTTGAAAAGAATAACAAATTATAAGCAAATCTCACCAAAGGACAAAGAAAACTCCACCTGCATATTGCTTAGAATAAGCAAAGGTGATACAACAGATGAAATAGCTATAAAGTATGGTAGAATATTACATACAACCTTACCCAGCTATGTTAGAACATGTAAGTAAAACACACACTTTTCTATAACAATTTAAGGCGAAATATTGATTCAAAAAAGAGAATCTGAACAGTTTGGTCACCATGATGAATAAATGCGGCTCATCACACTGTCTAGTCTTCTGTATATTTAGATTTTTAAAACAAAATGTTTAAAAATATGCTGTCAAGAGTACATCTTTCCGCCTCTGGCCAGTGCTAAATGCCCAGCACTTGTCTCCTATTCAAAACGTGCCAACCACGTATGCACAGCCCACTGCACAAGCATGAGAGCAGCGATCAAACAGGACAATTCAAATTTCAAGAGCGGGGTCCCACATTGGGCCAGCCACGGTCCGGCATAGCCCCTCAAGGAGCCCGGAAACTAAAGACGCGGCTCGCCTCGCCCAGAACCTACCGCGCCTGCGCGGTGCGGACGGAAGCGCCGGCGCCCCGAGTGACGTAGCGGGGGCGGGGCGGAGGCGGGGCGGGGCGTGCGGGACGTGCCGTCGCGTCGTCGCGTGGTGAGCGGGCGGCGGCGGAGCATGAGTGAGCCACGGGGTTGCCGCCTGACTGGGACCTGAAGGGTTCCTGCCGCTCCCCGGCCGGGCGGTGAGGCCGGCGGCTGAGAGGGTGCAGCGGCGGCGGAGAAGGGGGAAAGCAGCCGGAGGCGGGCTGGGGGGGCCCTGCGAGAGTTGGGGGGACCCCAGGCTTGGGGGGCGGCCGCTAGGACCATGGTATCGCTGGCTGACCGAGTGCGGGGCCACGGGCGCATCGCCGCCGGGCTCCTGCTCAACCTGCTGGTGTCCATCTGCATCGTGTTCCTCAACAAATGGATCTATGTGCACCACGGCTTCCCCAACATGAGCCTGACGCTGGTGCACTTCGTGGTCACCTGGCTAGGCTTGTTTATCTGCCAGAAACTGGACATATTTGCCCCCAAAAGTCTGCCGCCTTCCAGGCTCCTCCTCCTGGCCCTCAGCTTCTGTGGCTTCGTGGTCTTCACCAACCTCTCCCTGCAGAACAACACCATAGGCACCTATCAGCTGGCCAAGGCCATGACCACGCCGGTGATCATAGTCATCCAGACCCTCTGCTACAAGAAAACCTTCTCCACCAAAATACAACTCACGCTGGTGAGTAGCTCCAGCTTCGCTAGGCGCACCTCTAACAACTCAACTTCTGGACCGACTTTCTCCCCGGGAAATTTGAATATTTAACCTTGCGCCAAGCTCATTTTCCATCATCTTGAAATCCACAAATGAGTCATCTGTGAGCACGTGAACTTCAGGTTTATTTGGGGAAGGTGGGAAAAAATCCATCTTGTCACTCTGCTGGGCTTTTAGCCTAGAAGAGTGTGCCTTGTGTAATTTAATCACTACGTTTTGGTGAAAATCCGTAAGAAAAGAAAGCAGTATCGGGTGATGCAATTCAGTGTTATCAGATTTTTTGCAAAAGCTCAAGTTGAAAAACGGGTCTCCTCCCAAGGGGGAATTAAAACATGGATGCAAACGTTTAAGGTTTACCATAAAATACAGGTCCTCTGTGTATGTTTGCAGCGATATTTTGCAGAGGTGTCTGTGTCTTTTAAGAGAATGGAGGTTCCGACTAAATTTTGGAACTTGTAATTTACAGTATTTAAAATCTTAATGGTTTTGTACATGTTTATGTTGGTATGGTTAGCCACTAGTTTGCTGACCATTTACTAATATCTGCATGCATATGAAACTCCTTTCTTGCAAAGTGCAGTAGTGAACTCATTGTTTTAAACAGAATTAAATGGGGATGCAAATAAGGAATTGTCATATTTCACTTTGAGAAAATGGGATTAACAGTCCCTGTTTTCAAATGGAAAAAAAGACAATGGAGGTTCATTGATTCCCAGTGATATTATAAGACACTGAAAGGAATATTAAATTTATGTCTTATGAATTTAACCTGAACAACATTTACCTCTTTTTCTTTACAGATTCCTATTACTTTAGGTGTAATCCTAAATTCTTATTACGATGTGAAGTTTAATTTCCTTGGAATGGTGTTTGCTGCTCTTGGTGTTTTAGTTACATCCCTTTATCAAGTGGTTGGTAATTTTTTTATTCTTTATGTTCCTTTTTAGCAGATTTCATAAATTTTGAAGCTGTATCCCAAGGTTTAGAAAATACAGTATAGAGACAATAGACTGTTGGGAAGAAAGCATAATTGCATAAGTTGTCTGACTCAAGGTGAAGAAAAGAAAGGCGAAAAAGAGAAACTTGGGTGTGTGCTGTTCACCAAATACCTACCTACCTGTTTGTAAGTGTATAATACCCATGCTTAACAGTTTGAATTTGGGGTGACATTATATTACTTTCTGGGAAAGCTTTACAAAATGTGTAGTAAGGTTCTTGAAACAGAGTTCATTGGTTATATTGATCATTTACTCTTTAATTATAATGTCACTGTGAAGGAGTGAGTACACATCCAAAAATTTGAATGAGAAAGGAAAATTTCTGATTTATAAATCTTTGCCTCATAAAATATGCTGTTGTTACATCTTGAATATTGGCTTCTAATAACTTGTCTATATTAATGGAGGACTTATAGCAATGGGTATTTCACTTGTATTAGCACAGTGCTTTGCCTGTAAAAGGCATTCATTAAAAAATTGTTCATAGATTTATTTACTTCATTATCATAAAATATTAATCAGTATGTTTTTCATTTTTATATAGTGGGAAAAAATAACTTGGTGTTAGGTACAGTGAAACAGTATTTTCTCTATACTGAAAACCTTGGACTGAAAATTCTGGATGTGCCTGCATGGGGAACCAGTACCAAAATGTGTAGCTAAAACTACATCCACTAGTTGAAAACTACATCCACTAGTTAAAAACTAAGGCATTCTTGTTATGAATGTTAGGAATTCAGTAATACAACCTTAACAGCCTAACCTTTTTCAGTACTGATCATTTGTAAAACATTGTTATATAAAAATTCCAAGGTTAAGTAGACTTTTTAGTGGCAGGGAAACAGTTTAAAGTGGGGACCAGTGGCATGAAAGAATGAAGCACCCCTTACATCAACTTGTCATTTAACTCTAAAATATTCTTTGACTACAGAAAAACTCAGCTTTGTACTTTAAAAAATAATCATTTTTGGTTGTGATTTGGTGAATTTAAATTCTGTTAAATGAATCTTTTAGCCAGTATGGATTAAATATAACAAGAAATGTTATTTGTTGAGTATTAGAATTTCTTGTATTCCTTTAATTTCAATCCATGGTATTTACTGCCCATGCCAATACAACTGTTTTTGCTATAGATCAAAGTTGAATCAAAGTTGCTATAGATTTGAATCAAAGCATTCTATATCCATCAGGTAAATAATTGAAATGAAATGAGTTGGACACTGAATAATTATAAACTAAGTAATGGATAGAGGTTTGTATTATTAATAAATAATAAAACTATGACAGTATAGTCCCAGAAAATTACATTTAAAGAAAGTTATGTTTTCCACTATATCCTGGTGTAATTTCTAAATTATTTCTCTTGTACTGATGGGACATTAAAAGAAGTTAAAAGATGAGTGATCAGCTGTTACCTCTAGTTGTAGAAAGATGATTGATTGATTCCTTCAGTAGATTTCTGCTTTATGCTCTGCTATGAAGGTACAAGGATGAAAATCAGCTACATTATAGCAACATGTGTAGACAGCTAATCATAAGTAGCATCCCTCAGAGTATGAGGAAAGTTCTGAGGAATACCAGGGAGAAAGTGACAGTACTCTAAGAGTTTGGCGAGGTGAGACTTCATGGAAAAGTTAGCTGAAATTTAAGCATACACAGGAATTTGCTTAGCAAGGAAATATAGCAAAGGTCTTTCTTTCCAATGATGTGTGAAAGTACAGGGCATTTTTGGAGAACTTGATTTGTTTAGTGAGGCTGTGGAAAAACAGACTGAGGGGTGGGTGCAGCCAGATGGCAGAGAGTCTTAAATGTCATGCTAAGGAAGCGTGCTCATGTTCTAGAAACTTAAGTCTGGTGGCAGTGAAGCCTGAATCAGAGAGAGAAGAGTGACAGGCTGAATCACAGGAAACTCTCCATGGCTCAAAGGGAAGACAAAAAGGGCCTATACAAAGACAGTGGAAGTAGATGGAAAGACAAAAATGGACTCCAGAGACCTGATTGAACATGCATGAAGAAAGTAAAGAGTCTGATCCTTGGAGGAGATGATTTCCTTAATTATTGGAGTAAAACAGTGAGAGCTAATTTGGGGAAGGAAATACTGATCCTGATTTTAAACAAGTTCCTGTGGGTTATCTAAGTTAAGATAGACCATAAGCTGTTGAAGATGTAACTGTAAGGAACTCGAGCTGTAGATTTCATTGAATAGTATTTGTTACTGGGAGATAAAAAAAAAAGGCCAGACATGTACCTTAAAAACAGCAAGTGAAGGAAGAGGTGAGGAAGCACAGCATACCAGAAGTCAAGTTCTTCCAAGGGAAATATGAAGGTCCTGTCAAGAACTGTGGGAGGAAGAGGGCTAAGGTCATTGGAAGTGATGGCGCCCTTTGGAAAAGCAGTTTCAGTAGAGGGGTGGGGGGCAAAAGTCACACTTTACCCCAGTCAGGGTAAGTGAAGATCCAAGGAGTCACCGCCATTTCGGGCAGTTCTGTGCAAACAGGCAGCTAAAGCATGGAATGGCAGGCATGCACTGCACACCCTGCATGTCCCTAGCAGCAGGCAGCAGAAGAATCAATTCTTTGTTCTTCATATTCACAGAAGATTCTTAGTTAAGGCTGGCAGGAATATGTTTCAGATTTCCTGCACTTCTATTTTTGTCTTGGTGAATTTCTGTAGACTTAGAATTTATGTAACAGGATACCCAGACCTACAGGAAAAAGAGTTATGTAGGAACAGTTACTCAAAAGCCTGGTTGTTCTTTCCAGAACATAGTCTAACAGTCCTCTGAGACTTTCTTTACAGCTTCCTTTCCAGTCATATTTTTGATATATTTTCAGGACTAATGAGATTTGCGGTGTTGGTTTTACTGAATCATAGGGCCTTTTATGGTTTGTGATTATCTAATTTATTGAGGTATGTTGGGGGATCACCCACAGAAAAGTTACATTTAAAGAGGAAAATTCCTTGTACTATTGATTGGGTTCTGTAAAGCAATTGGAAAGACTTCACATACCTTTCAGTTGCACACACTGACAAGCACCCAAGAGGGCAGAGATACTGTCAGTCACTAACTAGCCTGCCCTGCCCCTTCAGTCTTCTCATTCTGATGCCGTTTCTAGAAATGCCTGATACACTTCATGTATTCTTCCTTATTATCTACATTTCCATTTCTGCCTTACTCTCCCAAGATTCTGGTGCTTCTCGGCCCTTGTAGGCACTGACTTTTCCCCATTTACTAAGATTGGGAGAAAAGAGGGTTTTTCCCCCCCTCCTTATAATTGAAAAGAAAATAGATTATCAGAAGTTAAATTTATAAAACACCTTTCAACCAAGGTGCTTAAAGGATATTCATCTATAGTACTGATCTTTGAAGTCTTGTAGAATAGACTATTCCATGCCCCACATTCCCATCTTTGGGGTTAAAGTTGCATCTTTCCTTTATTGAGTGATTGTATGTTTTTGCTGCCTAACTTGTTTTTAACTCCTGATTTTCAGTGGGTAGGAGCCAAACAGCATGAATTGCAAGTCAACTCCATGCAGCTGCTATACTACCAGGCTCCCATGTCTTCTGCCATGTTGCTGGTCGCTGTACCATTCTTTGAGCCAGTGTTTGGAGAAGGAGGATTATTTGGTCCCTGGTCAGTTTCTGCTTTGGTAAGGTCTCATTGTTTTGGTGTCTAAGAAACAGCATGTTAATCATCCCTCTGGTGTTGATACAATTTTTAGTTTTCGAAGCATTATCAGTGATCCATTCTCACATTATCAGTGATCCATCCATTATAATCATCTTTCAGGCAAAGCAAGCATTACTTTGAGATGAATAAACCGAGGCACAGAAATGTTAAGAGATTGCATGTAGGTACTGGCAAAACCAGAACTAGAATTCAGGTCTTTTGGTGTCTGGTTACTGTGCTCACCATGCCAAGTTATAGCCCACAAATAATTTGGACATTTTCTTTTTTTATAATGAAAATATAGTTCTGTTCCTTTTTTTTTTTTTTTTTTTTTTTTTAAAGATTTATTTATTTATTTATACAAGCACTGGGTACAGTCAGAAGCGTGGGAGGGTGAGAGAATTCACCAGAGCCAGAGCGGAGATCAGAACAGGCAGACTGACGAAGTACACTGCTAGGGGAGCAGCAGGCGGCAGGAGAGATCTGTGCGCCATGTGGGACCCTCTCCCGGTGGCCTGGGGATCGAACCGGTGCTGCCAAGGCTGCAGGCAGCTTCGCAACCCAGCGCTCAACCTCTGCGCCACCGGGGAGGCCCTGTTTTATTTGTTTTAATGGTATAAATAGTATGTACTAAATGTATAGATTTTAAACATATGAAAATATAAAGAGAAGCAAGTTCCCTTAGAATCCTGCAACACTATAGTATTCACTTTACCGTTTTGGTGAATATCATTTCATGGATCTCTTTTTCATATACACATGGACCGCACATGTGTGGTGTGATTTTATATACATGGATTTATCATTTATATGCTGTTTTTGTTATAGATTTCTTTTACTCACCCTTCCTACCTATACACACTTCAACATCCCATGGCCCCATCCTCACTCCTAGCATGTGTTCGTTCTTCCATATATCAGTTCTCTGTACTACCAAGCCCACATAAATACACAATACACATACATGCATGTACATGTACATAAATTCAACTTTTGTTTATTTGATAAAAGTGGAATCATATCACACATGATTTTCTGTATCTTGCTTTTTCTTAGTTAATATCTAATGAAATCTCTCCAAATTATTATTTTTATTATCTGTGTAATAGTTCCAGTTCTCAACCATTATGAATATTACTGTGATCATCACCCTTGTATATGTGTCCTCAGGAATAGCATCCTAGGAGTAAAGTTGCCAAATCAAAGGGAGATGTACTTTGAGACATATTGAGTTTTTTATATATGTATATAGTTATATATATTGAGTTTTTATATATATTTATATATAAAATATATAAATAAATATATATAAATATATATATAAAAAATCCTCTTGCTTAGGAAAGGAATTTCTGCTTTCAAAACTTTAATCTTTGGGGCCTCCCTGGTGGCGCAGCAGTTGAGCGCTGGGTTGCGAAGCTGCCGGCAGCCTCTGCACCGCTGGTTCGATCCCCAGCTGCTCCCTGGCCACTGGAGGAGGGTCCTGCAAGGAGCGCAGACCTCTCCTGCTGCCCGCTGCTCCCCTGAGCAGTGTACTTCGGTCCTTCTGCCTGCTCTGCTCCCCGCTCTGGCTCTGGTGAATTCCCTTACCCTCCCGCACTTCTGACTATATCCAGTGCTTGTATAAATAAATAAATAAATCTTTAAAAAAGAAAAAAAGAAAAAAAACTTTAATCTTTGGAAGTTAATAGGAATGTCTTATGCATTGGTGGTGTTATCTGACAAGTTTACATAGCCCTTACTCTGTTCCAACACTGTCCTAAGCACTTTGCAAATATTAGCTTGTGTAATTCTCCTAACAACTAGTGATTACTATTTTTGTCCCTGTATTACCTGAGGGGGAGTTTAATAACTGACTAGGGATCCCCCAGCTAATCAGCAGAGCTGAAATTTGAGTTCACCCATTCTGCTTCAAAGTCCTTGTTTTTAACCACTCCACTATGTTCCCTGTAAGCAGGTTGATAATTGTTTCAAATTCATGTACTTCCCTTTTTTTTTTTCTACTTTTTTTCCAAGGTAGAAATCACTGGCTTCTCTCTCAGATATCTCTTCTTAATATTACAAAAGTTCTGACCATCTTAGTTACCTGGTCTTCAAACCATAACAGCTTCCACACCTTAAGCTAGAAAGGGAGAGATTTTTTGCCGTATAGGTCTTCTGGTAGATTTGAAAAAAGCAGGCAGCAGAAAGTCCATTAAAAAAGGTCAAGAAACTAAGCATAGCCATGAGATCATTTAATAAGGGACAGCTACCTTCTGTCTTAATGTCCCTAGAGGGCACCATTGTCTCAAAGTAGAGCTTGTAATTGTTTCTAATGATGTTTAAGTCATTAAGAGCTCCGGAATGTACTTTTTGTGAATCCTGTGAAAGTGGATTGTTTTTAAAATATTTGAGGTTGAAGCGTCTCATAATTTAACTCTTAATACATGTCACTGTTATAAAATCAGTGAGGTATTACTCATTTTACCTAAGTAGGACACAAGTATAATTCCTTTAGTCCTCTTGTAACCACACTGGTCTAAAAACTGAAATACCCACATGGGACAGAAAAAAATCTTCAAATATCATATATTTTGTTTGGAATTTAGGCTTCTTAATCTAAATCATAACAAATATTTAATCTAACTTGTTCTGGGAAATAAAAAGTGATTTTATAGCATTTTAAATAAAATTGTGGGATATGTTTGAACAGGCAAGTTGATTTATTTACTATTTACAGACATCAAGTGCCGTCATGCCTCCGTGCTTTGATTCATACTATTACGTTTGTTTGAAATCCTATCCCAGACTTCTTTCTTTAATCTATACATACATTTGAGATCCAAACACATTTCTTGCTTTCCTAGCCCCAAATCATATCTTCTGCCTAGAAGTGATATGCAACCTATTTTTGTTTGCCTGATCATTAGATAACGTTTAGGATAGGTTGTCTTTTATTGCCCAAGTTGTAAGTCCTGTATTATACTCTCGCATATGGGTAAGCATAGCAGAGTGGGTTATAGCAGGGACTCCAGAACCCAGATTCCCAGGGTTTAAATCTCAGTCCTGCCTCTTACTATGTGATCTTCTGCAAATGACTACTTCTCTGTGCTCTCTTTTCTCATCTGCAAAAAGGGAAAACATTTTACTTCCTCATAGGTGTTTTTGAGGATTAAATGAGTTAATATATGTAAAACTTTTAGAACAATCCTTGCCACAAATACCCTGTATGTGTAAGCTGGGATTATCATAATTTTTATTATATTATCACATAGTTTCTGAGCTCTCCAAGGGCAAGAACCTATTGTGTTTCTCACAAGATCTGGCCTAGTTTTGTAGATACTTAATGAATGTTTGTTGTTTTATTTAAATGAGGATAACTATGAGCAGTTCAATAGGAAAAAGATCTGGATGAATATATGCCAAGGTATTAATAATGGTGAAAGCTTGGAATTATAAGAATGCCTTATTTCCTTTTTTTTCCTACAATGGTTATATATTACTTTTATAATAAGAAATTATTACAAAATGATTTTTCTTCAGATGGATAAGAAAAATGAACTGGAAATTTACATTCAGGGGCAGAATATTATTAAATAATTTTTCGTTGGGATCTATAAGCCAAATTACATTTCTGAATGTAGATAGTCCCCTAATTTATGACAGTTCAACTTTATGATGGTGCAAAAGCAGTGTATGTTCAATAGAAACCACACTTTGAATTTTGATTTTACCTTTTCCCAGGCTAGTAATATGTAGTAGGATATTCTCTCAGGGTAACAACCAATACTCTATAGATGTGTTTTCACTTTCCATACAGTGTTCAAAAGATCGTGTGAGATATTAAGCTTTTTATTATAAAATAGGCTTCATGTTAGATGATTTTGCATAGCTGTAGGCTAACAGAAGTTTTCTGAGCTCATTTTAAGATGATCTAGGCTAAGCTATGGTGCTCAGTAGTCTAGTGTGTTAAATGCATTTTCAAGTTACAGTCTCTTTATTATATTTTTAAGATTTATTTATTTATTTATTTATACAAGAACCGGGGTACAGGCCAGATGCGTGGGAGGGTGAGAAGACTCTCCAGAGACAGAGCGGGGAACACAACAGGCAGACTGACGAAATACACTGCTGAGGGTAGCAGCGGGTGAGACAGGAGAGGTCCGCCCCGCCATGTGGGACCCTCGCCGGCAGGCTGGCCGGCCAGGATCAAACTGGTGCTGCAGAGGCTGGGAACAGATTCGCAGCGCTGAGCTCAACCGCCTACACCACCAGGGGAGGCTTTATGGTCTCTTTGACTTGCAGTGTTTATCAAGCCGTAAGCCCATTGTTTCTGTATTAGTCATTCTTTTCTTTATCCTTGGTTCTTATTCTCTCCCAAATTGATTTTCTTTCTCTTTTTTAAGCTTTTTATTTATTTATTTATGCATACAAGAGCTGAGGTGCAGGCCAGAGATGCAGGGGGTGAGAGGATTCACCAGGGACAGAGTAGGGAGCAGAACAGGCAGGCTAACTGAAATACACTGCTGAGGGGAGCAGCAGGCAAGACAGGAGAGGTCTGCTGCGCCATGTGGGTCACCTTCCTGGCCGGGGATCAAACTCTTGCTGTAGTGGCTGAGGATAGCCTCATAGTGCTGCGTCTTAACCCCTTGTGCCACCAGGGAGGCCCCTGATTTTTTCTTTTCTAAAGTTGTATTCTTAATGGTTGATACTTGAGTTTTTAGAAATGCCAGTGAAATGTATTTCTACTTGATAATTTTAGTGATTACAACTGCTTTGCATTAATGCTATTCTTGTGTTTGTGTATTTGTAGCTTATGGTGCTGCTGTCTGGAATAATAGCTTTCATGGTAAACTTATCAATTTATTGGATCATTGGGAATACTTCACCAGTCACGTATCCTTTTCCTAACAACTTACAAATGCATAGGCTTTTTATTTGCCTACACTGTCACAGTCATTTCCTTATTTGAGTTTTGCACTTACTCTTTTGCATGACTAAATTGAGTAGAGTGAGTTATTTTTAATCTTTACTATCCTACTACTAGCATCTATAGAGACTGAAGAAACATAAAATGAGGAAATGGGTTAATTTTCTGTGTCGTGAATGTTTTGAATTTTCTTAAGTAACACTGATCTCTTCCCTTATTAAAATTAGCATTCAGCACCATTCCTTGCACACAGTAGTATTAAATAAATATTTATTTAGTGAATAATGGGATGGATGCTTGGGTTTTCAATCAGTTCTCATTATCTGTAGTAATAAAGTAGAGGTGTGGTTAACAGATAACAAAAGATAATGTCAGATCACTGACATCTGACTTAAGAGTATGTTTTTGTACTTACTTGGATATGGGTGTGCCTGTTTTTCTAAGTATTACTACAAATTTAGAAGTGAAGTCATACCCTAAAGGTCTGAATTAAAATTAACTGTCCAGTTTTTAACATTCTTCTTGTCATTCTGTTTCTTTTTGCATTTCACTCTGAAGCAAATGCAAAGAAATACTGGAGGTTTCCTAAATCAAAGAGATAGTTCAGTAAAGAAATAGTTTAGAGTATCCTGAGATGTCCACAAAGTAAATAAACAGCATATTTGCCAGCTATTAATAGTAACAAGTGATCACAATTGTTTTTTAAAAACCAACATTTAGTAAATATTTCTTTTGTGCCAGGCGCTGTTTGAAATACTTAGCGTGTATCAGACTGTTTAATTCTTGCAGCAACTCCGAGTGGTAAATTCTACCATTGTATTTTGAAGAGAAGCAAATGAAGGTGCAGAGGTTAAGTAGCTCACCTGAGATCACACTGAGCTGAGAAGTGTGGTTTCCAAATTTGAACCCATGTAGTCTTTTCTCAGAACATGTGCACCATGCTGCCAAATCAGAGCATCCAGATATATTCCCTGATTGAGAACACTCCTTCACTCAACAAATATTTATTGACTACCCACTATAAGCCATTCACTGACCTAATAAATATCATGTACTGAATATCTTATATATCACGCAGTGGGGATATGGCAGTGAACCAAAAAGACAAAAATCCTTGCTCTCACAACCTAACATTCTGGTGAGGAAGACAGACTATAAATAGGAAAAATAAAAAATATACATAGACAGTGTTAGATATTAAGCTCCAAGGAGAAAATAGAGAAGCAGGCATGATACGTTGGGGTTGAAATTTTAGGTAGGGTATTCAGGAGGGACTCAACAAGAAGATGACTTGTGAGTAAAGACTGGCAGGAAATGAGTTCATTCCATGCAGATGGAGCTGAAGAGCATTCCAGGTGAGGGAACACCAGGTGAGAGGTCTTAGGACCAACCAGGAAGCACATGTGAGTGGAGTAGGATGAGCAGAGGGTGGAATATAGTAGGACTCTCAGAGGTAGCAGAAGCAAACTGAGTGTAGATTTTATATAAGGACTATTATTTGGACGAGTTGAGAAGCCATTCAAGTTGTGAGCAGAGAAATGACATCATATTACTTATGTTTCAACCACACTCTGAGCGACTGTGTTGACAGTAGATTAAAACAAGGCTTCTCATCCTCAGTGCTAATTACCTTTCAGATTGAACAATTTTTTTGTTGCAGAGGCTTGTCCTGTACATAGTAAGATGTTTAGCAGCATTCCTGGTATCTACCCATTAGATACCAGAGGTACCTCCCTCTAATTATGACAACCTGAAAATGTGTCCAGACCTTACCTAAGTGAGAATTTCTTTCTCAACCTAATACTGTAGTCCTTTTACTTTGGAGAGATCAACAGGCATGATTGAGGCAGTCTTCTGTAACTGCGTAATTACTAAACTTGGGTTGTTCCAGTACTTCACTGAAGTTCATTTTTGTGGGGCAAAGGATGGTGGGGTACTGCTGTTCACTGTGTGTTTCATGCTGTTCTTTCTAGCCACAGGAGGTTTGTGCATGTGTGTGTGTGCGCGCGCACATGTATATAAGACAATAACAGCTGCTCTTTTTATCCTTAGCCAGAAACCTCAGCTATAACATGTTTGGACACTTCAAGTTCTGCATTACTTTATTTGGAGGATATGTTTTATTTAAAGATCCTCTGTCAGTTAATCAGGGGGTTGGCATGTTATGTACATTATTTGGTATTCTTGCCTATACCCATTTTAAGCTCAGTGAACAGGAAGGAAGTAAGAGTAAACTGGTACAACGTCCTTAATTGAGTTTTTGTGAGAAAAGAGAGTTGCTCCAAGAAGATAAAACAATGTTGTGTGCAAGTTATTTTCAAAGACGGAAAACAAATGATAATGCAAAATTAATGGTGGTTTGCAAGAAGTAACACAAAAGAAATTTTATTCATAAATATGACTTTCTCTTTTTGAACACCTTTTTTTTCTGAACACCCTTTTGTCCCCCAAAATTTAATTATCTAAAACAATCACTTGTGCTCTTTTGCAAGATGATTGTGTGAAATATATAGGAGGGTTTGGTTATACCAAATGAAGTACATGAAATTAAAGTTCTAGAATAATGACAAAAGAATTCAAATTACATACTACAAAACTGTGTCATGGCTTGTCCATGTTCATACGCCTCTTTGTGAAGGACTTGTATGACTCTTCTTGATCTTAGGTCATCCCCAGCGTGAGTTCTGTTATTTCAGACTTAGTGTTCAAGTCAGAATTTAACTCTAAGATTCCTATTTTAGTTGGGTTAATGTAACTTCCTGCTTACTTCATTACAGAAATAGCTGTCATTTATAAAAAGCTAAGTGTAAAGAAGATGATCTTAAGGTAAAGTACAACTCTAAAAGTACTATTTTTTCTAGTAGAAATTTGATAGGTTATACAATTTCCAAAAATACAACAAAACCCTACGCTTTCTATAGGTATTCTCTTGTTTTTGAATTTTCAGTGCACTCTAGAAACTAAATGTGGAATTAAAAAAACAGTTCCATATTTAATGTCCTAAAGAAAATAGTGTAGATGGAACTGAGCAAGGTTCTTACATTTTGACAACTGTTCTCCCAGCCTCTTTGAGCATTTGTGTTAGTGGTTTCTCACCACCATCTTCCAGCTGTCACTTCCTACTTCCCACATTTGAGGGCAACCATGGACCATGGAGCTTTCTTTGGCTTAGAGAATTTAGAGTGAACCATGTCCAGTCTTTCTAAGGGGCTGAGAAGAATTCTTATGCAACAAATCAGGGCAAATGCTATTCAAGCACTGAGCAGAAACTTGGTGAAAATAAGAGGTAAGATGTGAAAGAGAAGTAAAACTAATTCCATGAATTTTTAAAGGGATAGTATTTTTGTAATTAGGGTATAGTGAAATACATGATACCCACTTAAGGAAATGCAGTGCCACATATGTCATTGCAAAAAAGTATTTCTGTCTTCTAACTTCTTGACTTTTGAGTATTAAAGGCAGTTGTTAATAACCTCTCACAATAAATTGAATGGGACAGATAATCCCTCTTGTAAGAAATAATTCTTTTTCAAAACATATATGAACTTTAAATGAAAAAAATCTTAAGAGGAGAAATAGCCATGTGTATAAAATACACCTTTTAAGATTGCTTATTTGAAAAGAAAACCCTCCCTGAAAATGTGTTTTGCTGCAATTTCAATTTGTCAGTCTGTTATGTGATTAGTATATGTGTTTTCTGGTTTGTTTGTTTGTTTAAATATTATTTGTTTCTTCTTAGTTTCCAAAGATATATTTTATTGTGCTAAGAGGTACAAAGCAGTTTGTCTTTATCAGATGAGCCCAGGGTTTTATGTTTGCTTAAAAAATGTTCTCGCTGTTTAAATTAGCCAATAATTGTTTCTCAGAAGCTGACAGTATCACAATGAGGATTACAAGACTTGTGTGTGCTAACAATTGAATTGTTGTGCCATGCATAAATTCTTAATTGTAAATATGACTTAAGGGCATTTTTAATAAACGTGGAGGAGGGGACCGCAAAGAATGACATTAGGAATTCAATCAGAAAGTTGGCACAAGACAGGATGGGGAATTGTGTACAGAAATGAATCAAATATGGACTACTAGAACTAGAGCATAATAAATATGTTTTGCCCTGAAGACAATCATCACATTGAAAAGAAAATTTCCTGGAAAAAAATGCACAAGATGCTGGGGACCATCCATGTTCAGTCCAGAACATTGCTGTGGAAGAAACCTGCAGTCCTGTTACAGATGTAACTGCACTTATTTTTTATCCTATGTTAAATGACCGAGCTTCAGTTTTTACCTGTTACAAATAAAGAGAACCTGGTGTTTTTACTTTCTTATTGCATATTTGAGGCAGAGGGAGGGTGCATCTGTGTAGAGGCCATGATAACCCTGACCTGTTCAGCTCTCAAATCTGCAAAATCCAATGAAACGAAACCCTCATCTCCCTTTTAAAATAACATAAAAGAGAAATCTTTGTGAAACTTCAATCTCATATTTAAATATTTTTTAATCTTGCTGTTTTTAAGTCAGTCATTTTTTTAAAAAATTATTTAAAAACAGGAGCATTAATCAAGCACTCGACATTGACTCCATCAGTAATAGGTGAATGAATATGCAAAATGGCCAAAGGGGGAAAGTCTGATTAAAAGAATGGCAGGGGCCTCCCTGGTGGCGCAGGGGGTTAAGTGACAGCACTATGAAGCAATCCACAGCCACTGCAGCTTGAGTATCATCCCCAGCCAGGGAGGTGACCCACTCGGCAGGCGCAGCAGACCTCTCCTGTCTCGCCCACTGCTCCCTTCAGCAGTGTATTTCAGTCAATCTGCTGGTTTTGTTCCCCACTCTGGTGAATCCTTTTATCCCACCCCCACGCGACCCCCGGCCCTGCACCTCTACCCTTTACCCCAGTTTTTGTATGCATAAATAAAAAGGAAAAAGATTATCTTTAATAGAGCCGCTTGCCAATTATCTGAATATCTTATATCCAGAAAATTCTGTGGATAAGTAACGATTCCTTATAAAAGGAGAAATGATAAATCATGAAGTAAAATCTCATTTTGCTAAAAAATTATAAACATACACTTGAAGTTATTAAAGGATTGTTTCTACATGTTGGCTTATAGCTTATAGCTCATAATCACTCTGCTTGGTAATAAGCAATATTGCTCTCCAGAGATATTACTCTAATGATTGTGGTTTCTAAGTGGTTTCCATTTGACCTCCTAGCCCTGTTTTGAATCTCAGCAAACCTCCATTCTCACTTCTATTCCTTTTTTATTTTTAGAAGCTCCATCAGAGCAGAACATTTCCCTGCCCTCACTGGATAAACCTGTATTGGGCTCATATTAGACAGTAACTTTCAGTATCTGTTCTAAGCAGACATTTCTCAAGACCACATTGTTCTATGCACCTTTCCATCATTATTCTTTCTAGTAAAAATGGTGTCTCATGAAAGAAACAGTTTGCTCCAGGTCACAGCTCCTTGAAACGTGTATAGTTTGGCATGCACATTTGTTTTGGTTTTTGTTTTTTAAAATTTATTTATGCATACAAGAACTCGGGTACAGGCCAGAGGTGTGGGGGTGTGTGTAAGAGAGAGAATTCACCAGACAGAGTGGGGAGCAGAACAGGCAGTGGACTGAAATAGACTAAGGGGAGCAGTGGGCGAGACAGGAGAGGTCTACAACATCATGTGGGTTAGCTCCCTGGCCAGGGATTGAACTCATATAGCAGTGGATGGCAATAGCTTGAGAGGCTGGGGCTGAAGTCCTGTGCAGTCAGTGAGGCCCTAGTTTTGCTCAATTTTGTTGATTCTTCTGACAGCAAAGAAACTCAGCCGGGGAATGCTGGAGATTTGCTCAAGGCCTTGTGGGAGAGTTGATACGTTAATGATCTGAGGGTACTCTACAGATTATGATAATGGCTAGTCAAAGCAAAGACAGGTTTTTTTATCCATGGTTATGCTTTGTTTTTGCACTTTCAATACCACCAACTTTACCAAATGCTGCAGCTCTCTGAGTCATCAAAAGATCATTACTCATGAGTCAGAGTTTCCTGTCAGCCTGCAAAGTTCCCCCCACTCTCTGTATGGATAACTCCCCCTCATGCAAATCTCAGGGAGGGTGTGTCTGTGTCTATGTCCAGATGCTCCTATTTGTCTCTCACTCCCTTTTAACATTTCAATCCAGTTTGCAATTTAATTTGTTCCCATCTTTTTCCTTCCTTGCTTTGGGAACTCCAAAAAGGCAAGAACTGTGTATGTTTTCAGCAGGCTATCTTCAAAATACCTTGCACCATGCCAGTAAATATATTAAATGTATGAATTTAGGATTGTTAGTGGAACAATCCATACCCTGACATTTTTTACAGACTCCACCCCCACCTCCACTCCAGAGACTTCAGGCATCCAGAATTACAACTCCCAGCATGCCATGAACCTGACTTCCTGAATGCCCCCACCAGCCCCAAGTAGGGATGGAGTTAAGTGGCCCAGTGTGGATTATAACTGAATATGTGTATTTGGACTCTCCTGTTTTTGTGGCTTTGACCTGCACCCTGGTTCTGCTGGAAGAGACACGGGAGGGAGAGACATGGAGGAGAGACATGTAAAGACACAGGAGAAGATACCTGGATGAGACACATAGGTGAGAGACAGTGGGAGGTTGCTTCTGGTCCTTGACAGAGATGTGACAGCTGTTATCTTGACCGTGTTGGATTATGTGGTACACTTTGAGTTTTGAGTCTCTCCTTCTGTTCCAGTTCTCTGGGACCTGCCTAACCCCTCTTTTGTGGTTTCCTGCCAGAAGGTACCTTAGGTTTGTGGCAAGCTTTTGGGCCCTGGTGGCCCCACTTCAGGCCGAACCTGCCTGGGTAGACATTTGCCCACTATAGGATGGGTAAATTTCAGAGTTTGCTGGTATTTAAAATCTCTCTCCTCCTCCCTCCTTCCTCCTCCTCCTATCTTTCTCCAAATCAGTTTTATTACAAACCTTTTAGGGGCCTCCCTGGTGGCACAAAGGGTTAAGCGTCAGCACTACAAGGGGTTAAGCGTCAGCTACTACAGCATGA